TTAGCATCATTTTGTAGTCATTACTCTCCACATTTTCTATCTATGAATATATGCAAGCTTTTCAAATCCAAACTCTTAGCACATATGTAGGGGGGGCTAATGCTACTAATTTAGGTTTATGAAACTTGTCCAAATCCTTTACACATGGTAAAAATGCTTGGGCAAGCAACATGAATCCAAAATAATTTTAATTCATATCTTTGTAAAAGGTTGTCATTAATTACCAAAAAGGGAGAGATTAAAAGCCATAGTTTGGTTTTGGGTAATTGATGAAACGTATTTAGACTAACCCTTTGTCTAAGTGATGGATGAGTTAGGGTGGTCTAAGTCCAAGTGATGGAGCAAAATGATGTCCATGGTGATGGAGGTGGACAAAGTGAAGATCAAATACTCCAACTTAGAAAAGAAGAAAGAGAAAAACAAAAATCCAATGGAGATCAAGGCAAAGGTATTGATAGGATTTTTGTTTTGCCAATCAAGACACCATAAAGGGTGTGATTGGGTTTAGAATAGATAGTCCTCCTATTAAGAGGGGTGATCTCACGGTTAATACGGTTATCTAAGAGCCACTAGGTGGATTAACTCCATGCATTTGCATTAGGACCTAGTAAGTGTTAACATCCCTTGAAAAACATGTTTGTGAAATGCTAACTCATGTACACAAGTGTTGAAAACTTGGTGGAGTTAACACATTTGCACAAGGGATGAAATAGAGAAGAGAGAAGGGTCACTGAGTGTGATCGAACACTGGCTCTGAAGGGACCGGACGCGTCCAGTACCTTAACCTAAGCCGGCCAAGCAAGCTGGCCAGACCAGATGCTAAGTGAAACAGCGACTGGACGAGCTAATCACACTGTTCATAGACTAATAACATGGTTAGAGGGTGACCAGACATTGAGGTGAGTCTGGTCTACAAAATCCCTCTCTAGAACCTCTCTGTTACGATCCGGACGTTGGGAGCGAGCGAGTCCGGTTAATCGACCAGATGTGGAGTACGATCATGCGTAGACTTAGCCATTGGGCGCCAATGTATACATTCAAACGACCAGGACACATGGTTGTTCGAGGTGGACCGGACGTGTCCAGTCAGCACTAGTGCGTCCAGTCAGTGCGCAGACAACTCAATAAGAGAGCCAATGGGTATGTGTGACTTGTGGGCTCTATAAATAGATTTTGGCCAGCTTGGGCTCACCCTCTTAGACATTTAATCATTGATACATCCTTGTGAGCTAAGCCAAACACCTCCCACTCATCTCCTTCATTGATTCATCATCCGAGTGAGATTGGGAGCTCTCTTGTGTAGTGTAGAAATAGTTAGCTAACTAGTTTTCTTAGTAGAACTAATTAGTTCTTGCTAGCTCACAAGTTTAGAGAGTAGTGACATAGCTCTTGTGTGCCTTGAGATTATACTTGACTACAATTGTGGATAGGTGGCTTGCAACCCTTTTAGAGCTAGTGTAAAAAGCTATTATTGCCATTTGTTATACTAATAACTTGCTCTGCATTTTGTAGAAATTTTTATAGGCTATTCATCCCCTCAAGCCATTTAGGACCTTTCACCCGGCATGGCCCGATGGAGATCGGGCCGGCATGGAACGTCGTGCCTCCCGGGCCATGCTTCTTAGGGCCAAGGCCTGGCCTTCGGCCCGGTCCATTTTCTAGGCTGAGCTACCCCAAAAATTAAGCACGGTCCGAGGCGGGTATCGAGCCAGCCTGCAACCTGAAACAGGTGAGAGCGAGAGAGAGGGAAGGGGAGGATGGGATCCGAAGCTCGAAGGATGCGTGGAGGTGCCGCTCGAGCTAGATCCGGAGGAGGCCGACGCCCTCGAGCTAGATGCAGAGGAGGTCGACGCTCGAGGCCGGCCACCGCGCTCGACGCCTGTGTGCTCAACGTCACCGCGTGAGATGCGCCTGCACGAGGGGGCGTGGAGGAGGCGACCGGGTGCGGTCTTGGAGCCATGGGGGGCGAGGAGTCACGACTCGCGACCACGACCACGAGAACCCAAGGAGTGCGGCGACGGAGAGGAGGGGGACGAGGAAATGAAATCGGGTTAGAATTAGGAAGGGGCGTCATCGTACCAGGGAAATGAAGTTGGGCTCTTAGCAGGCCGCCAAGCCGCTATAGTCACCGAGCCAACATCGTGCCTACATGTAAATGTCGGGCCGTGCCGTGCCACCCACCATGCCTGAGTAGCAGCCCAGGCATGGCCCTATGCATCAGGCCGTGTCATGCTCGTGCTGGGCCAAAATAGCGGGCTTTGTGCCGTGCCAACGGGCTGCAGACTGCATGGACATCTATAGCCACGCCACAAGTCTGGTGATGAACCACACACCGGCTAACTCTAGCTAGGTTGAGTTGTGGCAAGCTATGGCACGTTCTAGTCATCAACCAAACATGCCCTAAACTTGGTAATAAAAGGGATAGTCTTGTTTCAGTGGTTTCTGCATTGAGTAGTTGTTCTTCTCTATTCTTTGGTTGAAATATTTGGTAATAAAAGAACAGAGAAAATAGGTTTGGCTGAAATATTTGGGGTGAAAATTTGGAGGAAATTGTGGTTGTGGATAGTTCATGGGGTAGTGTGGTGAGGGGAAATGATGTTGTTGACTAATGTGTGCAGCTTTCATCAAGTTTGTGAAAGTGGAATAAGTGTTCTCCATGTCTACAAAGGGAGAAAACCAGATTTATATGAATGTTCATGTATGTGTTACCCTTGTATATATAGCGTAGTGATCTAGGACTCTAGGCGAGCAATGGTCATGTAGCCGTTGGGTAACAGGGACAAAGTAATTTATGGGGCTTCAATTACCAAATGTTGCTACAGTAGAACAATATTGTTTTAAGAAGTCGGGAGTTGGTGAGAACATGTTTCTTTAGCATCACCTATCATTGTGTTCCCAGTGATATATATTTCCTCTCCTTTTTTTGAGCATCGATCATGCTATTGCATATGCCAATGCCATATTCCCATACGAATGCGCTTCTGTTATTATATTGCATCTATGCATCTCGGTTATTTCCAGCAGATACATATCTCGTTCAGCACCTAGTCATCTGTTTTTGTTGCTGTAAAGTGGGCATCATGTTGAAACTCATCAACACAATGTCTAAGGGGAAGAGATGATAGGAAACTATTTAGGCGTTGTTTGGAATGGAGGTTTCTCATAGGAATTTTATAGGAAAGCAAATCCTTTGGTTAGCTGACGTCACATGCTGTTTGAATCAAAGGAATGAATCCTATCGTTCGAAAGGAAAGGTTGGGTGGCCTTCACAAAACACAGAACCAGAACATCTACTCCGACTCAAATTATTCGCGGAAGCCTGAGGCAAACGCCGTGCGGCAGAGATGATCATATGAGCACCTGCCTTTTCAGTGGCCCCCACGTGATGCGTTTGGTCCATGAGCCGTGAGATTCTTCTAGGCTGCTTCTTTTTTTTCTAATAATTTATGGACCATACGACTAGTAATGTTTAGTCTGTGTCATTTCAAGGTTAGAAGATACTTTGACATTCGTTTCCAATTTAATATATACTTTTCCGTTCCTGTATTTCAAACACCTCTCTTACGAAGTTTATGTGTTTTTTCAATCCTCTGTTTAACTTCTACCATACCTTTTTATTCTTGTATTTTCTTCCTTTCCTACATTTCTCAATCCTGTGTTCCAAACAGGCTCTTAGTGCAAACCCTCTACTTGATGGAATCGTGAAAATCCTTTTCAAAAAAAAAAACTTAGGAGTTTCCAAAAAAGAAAAAGCTATGCACATCAATATGCCAAATCTTTTTTTGGCGTGAGTTATCTCCCTTCATTTTTGTTTACTTGCCAGTAACATCTGATTTTTTTCTATAAAAGGTCTTAAGATAGTTCAACGTATAAAACACTAATGAGCTATGTTTAATGACAAATTATTTTTTCGTAGCCGTGCCAAACACAATTTAATGGAAAATTATATGACACAAAAAGTTCAAGCATCTAAAGTAATTTTTTCCTTTAAAAAGATCGAAATTACTTCCGTAAAGGTTTGGTGTCACGTGAATCAAAATTTAGGGAGGTACTAAACTTATTAGTACAATCAAATAGTCTAGTTTTATAATTTAATCAATTCTGTAGTCGCTGTTTTTTTTTAATTTAAGACGGCTAAACTTTGCCCTCATCGTTTGCTGACCCCTCCGTTAAGAAAGAAAGGGCCACACATAACACAATCACATAAGAGCATCTTCAACAGTCCACCAATACCTCCCATATTCCTATAAAATTGTTATATTGAGAACATCTATATTTTTTTCTTGCTCCAGCAGTTCTTCAATACCTCTTTTTTTTGTGGCCACCAATATTTCCCTCGTCTCCCCTTAAAGAAAGGAGAAGATACAACTCATCCAATACCATAGGGACCATCTCAACTACTACTTTATAGTCATATTTTTTTTATACTCCTATGAAACCTAACTTTTATATGATTATTGGAAGAAATGAAGAAATATATTGATACTGCTGCAGCAACTCTCTTAATAAATTTAAAAAATAATATTAGGCTACCCAATACCATCTTCTCATGGGAGTTATATTGAGACCGCTGAAGATGCTAAACACCAGCGGCGGCAGCGCCACCGCAACCACCACCACCCGGCACCAACCACCAACCCACCCACAGAGAAGGCATGAGGAAAACCGTCAGCTCGCGCCGCGACGCCGGTGGGCGGCCAGCGCAGCGTAGTCGGGGGAATGGAAGTGGACTCGAGGGTCACTCGCTGTCGACTACGCTGTCTGCAACTGCTGGGGACAAGCGAAACCAACAGCGAGAGCCTCGCCAAACCGCCGGCGCCGCGGCCTGCAGCCTGCTGCCCTGTACCTCTCGCTCTTATCCCCACCCCACTCGCTTTCTCCCCTCTACAAGAAAGCGACCACCGCTGTGAGTCAACAGAGCTGCTGTGAGAGACAGAGAGGAGGAGGCTTCCAGTGTCCGTGGCCAAAAGATCGAGTAGCCAGCAAGAAGAAGAAGAGAGATGAACGCCGACTTCGGCGCGCCCAAGGAGCTCGCGGGGGGCCTGCAGCAGCGGCGGGCCGTCTACCAGCCCCCCCTCCCGCCATGCCTCCAGGTGATCACCAATTCATTTTCATTTGATTCCCTGCGATTCCTCCTGTCCGCCTGCTCATCTCTGCTTGCTCTGTAACACCATGACTTTTGTCGTTTCTGTGTTGGGGCGTGATTCTGAGTTCCTCATGAATTTCGGGGGGTTTATGGGGGGTTTACCCTTCTTGATTCCTCTGTCTATCCAAGGCCAAACAATCGGTTTTAATTAACCCAATTCCTTCTCCCCCAGGGGCCGACGGTAAGGGCGGAGTACGGCGACGCGACCACCACCATCGACCCCACCTGTGCCCAAGCCGTCGCGCAGGCCTTCCCGCACACCTTCGGCCAGCCGCTCGTGAGCTTCGTCGCGCCGGCCGCCGACGCCGCCGCCGTTGAGGAGCGCCACCCGATCAGGTGCACCTCAGGATGCCCAGTCTAATCATGTGCGTGTGCGTCGCGAGATCGCGCGAGGAGGCTTGCCTGAATTTACTTCCTTTGCAGGGTGGGCGTGGTGTTCTCTGGGAGGCAGTCGCCAGGAGGGCACAACGTCGTCTGGGGCCTCCATGACGCACTCAAAGCCTACAATCCTCAGAGCGTGCTCTACGGATTCGTCGGTAACCAAAATCTCCCAATTTCTTGAAGATTACCTATTCGGCACACCGCACACTTTTTGCTATTTATATAGAAATTAAGTGCCTTTTCCTCCCGTATCCTTTTTAAAGATTTGTGTGCTTCGTGTTATAGGTGGCACGGAGGGGCTGTTTGCAAACAAGACGTTGGAGATCACAGACGATGTTCTTGCTTCCTATAAGAACCAAGGTTAGTTGGGGCCACTTGTTGTTAGTCCCCTAACTAACTGTGGCCATGTTTCTGTTATTCTCAATACTGACATATCTTGTTTTCTCTTTTCAAGGTGGTTTCGATTTGCTCGGTAGGAGTATCGATCAGATCCGCACTACTAAGCAAGTGAATGCTGCAATGACAACATGCCGCAGTCTGAACTTGGATGGGTTGGTCATCATTGGAGGTAGACACCCAATGATCACCAAAGGCTACTAAAACCGTTCATCATTTGTTTTGACTTAATTTGCATGCACCTGCCACAAGTGATGATTCTTACTCCCTCTGTTCCAAATTATAAGTCACTTTGACTTTTTTGGTACATTTATTTTGCTATGCATCTAGATATAATAATATGTCTAGACGCATAGCAAAATGGATGAATCCCAAAAGTCAAAGCGACTTATAATTTGGAACGGAGAGAGTATTTTATAAACAAATTGACCTAGCAGTTGGTGGTCATCACACCAGTTTAAACTTTGTTATGTTCTAACATGTTGTGAAAACACAGTACATGTTTATCGTAAGAATTACCATGAATTTTGTCTTGGTTCAAACTAGCATTTTTTTTTAAAACATTGTTCTCACTCGATCTACAGGAGTGACCTCCAATTCAGATGCTGCACAGCTTGCAGAGACCCTTATCCAGAATAACTGTAAGACCAAGGTATAACCGTTATTAGTCTAAACTGTTTTTAAATGCTTATATTCTTCAAGCACACAGAAAATCTCAAGAATCCAAAACCTCCGTTAAACAGGTTGTTGGTGTGCCAGTTTCATTGAATGGTGACCTCAAGAACCAGTTTGTTGAAACAACAGTCGGATTTGATACATTGTGCAAGGTAACACACATAGTCTAGTAGAAATTTTGTATAAATGTGTCAATCCTGAAGGCACTTGGAACCAAATATAACATACCACTGTCAATCTGTCGCTAATGTCATTTTGTGTGGTAACTACTTTTCAGGTTAATTCACAGCTTGTAAGCAATGTTTGCCTCGATGCAATCTCAGCTGGAAAGGTAATTATCCTATCACCCATTTGGATTAGTAGCTGAGCAGGCTGCAATCGTTATTGCTACTTAGAACCATTGGCTGATGTTTTTTCTTCCTATCAGTACTATTATTTTGTTCGTCTGATGGGACGAAAAGCATCTCATGTTGCCTTTGAATGTGCACTTCAGTCACACCCAAACATGGTATGATTTTATCAAATTTGTGGTCATATCTCTCTACTATATAAAACTGAAGAAAGAGCATCGCATCCTTTTTTCAATTGCTCTTTGCAGCTCATCTTAGGAGAGGAGGTAGCATTGTCAAAACTCACTCTGATGGAAATTATAAACAAGATATGTGATGGAGTACAAGCAAGGGCAGAATTAGGTTTGTACAGTTCTTTGATTGTTATGTTGCAGCAATTAGTAGAAAAAAAACTTGTAGCTTTGGTTGAGGTAATTTTTCTAGTTTTTTCTAGTCAATCAAGGTATCAGGGTACTGTAATAGATCATGATAAACTAAAAGACTGGTTATCCATCTTCAGGGTTGTGATAAATCATAAACTAAAAGACTGGTTATCCATCTTCAGGGAAATATCATGGTGTGCTTGTTATCCCCGAAGGACTTATAGAAACCATTCCAGAAATGTATACTCTTATTCAGGTATGTGTGATCTATCTTCAGGGAAACAATGGGATGATAAATAGCATTGTTTCAGTTCCATCTTATTGTTTTCTGTTCAAATACTCCAGGAAATCAATATCCTTCACAACAATAATGTTCCTGTGGCTGAGATGTCATCACAACTGTCTCCGTGGGCAGCTGCTCTGTTCCAGTTCTTGCCACCCTTCATCAGAAGAGAGGTATTGCATTGCTAGCAAAGTTGGATTTTCTTAATGTTTATAACATTAAAATAAACTATGGATTAACTATTTGTAATATTTCACTCAGCTGCTGCTCCACCAAGAATCAGATAACTCTGCACAGTTGTCCCAGGTTTGTGATTCTGAATGCCCAATAACTACTCTGTTAAAACTTATTTAATATAATTATTGGTGTTATAGTGTCCTTTTGTTTTCAGATTGACACGGAGCAACTGTTAGCCCATCTAGTAGAAACAGAAATGATAAAGAGAACAGTAAGTTCCATTGTTGTCACTATTTCTTTGGTTTTCGTCGCTGAATCTGTCCATAGTGATTGGGGATGTTTGATATTTAGAAAGAAGGAAGATACAAGGGAAGGAAGTTCAGTTCAGTCTGTCATTTCTTTGGATATCAGGCTCGAGGATCTATACCGTCAAATTTTGACTGCGACTATGCTTATGTGAGTATTATATCACTGAGATTTTAGAAAATTGAATGTTCTGATCCTTATTCCTGATAACACTAAATATTTTAGGCTCTTGGACGTATCTCCCTGCATATGATCGCATCTGGATTGACTGGTTACATGGCAACTGTGGCTAACCTGAAGGACCCTGTTGACAAATGGAGATGTGCTGCTGCTCCTTTAACTGTAAGATTGCCACTGACCATCAACATCATATGCTGAAAGATTACTATCTATTTATTTGCTCATTTTTGACCTAGTAGCACAATCTGTTGTCTTTACCAGGCGATGATGAGTGTCAAGAGACATTTACGTGGCCCTGGAGCAATCCCTATAGGAAGGCCTTCCATTCATCCTTCTCCAATTGACCTGAAAGGGAAGGCTTATGAGTAAGTCCACACTGTTCAGCACTGAATATTCCTGCTTTTCTGATTACTCAACGAAATGATGCAAAGTCGAAGGAACTGAACTAATTTTGTTCCTTCATCATTCAGGTTGCTGCGAGAGAAGGCTTCAAGCTTCCTCCTTGACGACTTCTACAGGACTCCAGGAGGCATTCAGTTCGAAGGGCCTGGTTCAGACGCGAAGCCCATCACGCTGACCATTGAGAACCAGGACTACATGGGCGACATTGAGATACTGAAAGAGTATCTCGGCAAGGTTGAGATCGGAAATCCTTTCATCTGCTTCCCAGTATATAGTTTCAGATAAAAAAAATGTTTCCATTTAAGAAGCAGGTCCTAACATTGACATGCCCAATGATGATGTGCTCCTCAGGTTAGGACCATGGTGAAGCCAGGGTGCTCCCGGGAGATCCTGAAGGCAGCGATCAGCTCCATGGTGTCGGTGACGGATGTGCTGACCGTGATGTCCCACCCCCTCAACGCCGAGCTGCCCCTCTACCATTTCAAGTGAGCGAGGGCATCAGTCTGCTTGCGTCTGGGTTATTTCTTATTTGTAGAGTGTTTTTGTAACATCAGAAGATTCTGCTTCATGGGCTGCCGGTATTTTGTTTGGGCGAGAAGCACTGGGTTGATGACAATAAACACCGAAACAGTACTTGATCCTGAACAGAACTGTAGTTATTTGCTGGATTGGAAAAATGCAGGTTTTCGACCTTGGTCGACTGCAGTTTAAAGTACAAAACCCATCTGATCCAATCAAGCTAGTTGTAGTATTGGTGGCAGTATTCCAGTTTTTAAGAGTATCCATATATGCATGATGGGCACTTTCTGGACGTATATACGCCATGTGAGAGTCAAGCTAAATGTTCTAATTACTAGCCCTCTATCTTTATTATCGTTATTCAAATTCTAGCTACATCTCCATTGGGTGCGATTGCTCGTGAAATATGAACAGACCTGAATCCGTGTGCTTGTTTAGAGGCTAAGCATTGATTGGAACCAAATTAGAGAAATAAAACGATTTGAAGGAAGAAAAAAAAGGACTAATGATGAAGATTGAGGAAACGGCCGGACGTGGCTCCGACACCCGCGCCGCTCCCACCTCACACCCCACGTCCTGCCCTAGCACCTGAACCCGCGCCCCGCACAGGAAACCCACGTGGGTTGCCCCACAGCTGCGTTCCAGCAGCAGCGACAGGCACCGACCGTGCCGTGCAACACCTCAATCTACTTTTACAACATTCAGATGAAACTTTTGCACCATACGTCTAAAATAGATGAAACATTTGGACAGTTGAAGCACCATTGCAACATGTGCAACATCCTGATTTACTTTTGAAACATCCAGATACAACACTTGCAACATACAAAAGAAAACAGATGAAACACTTGAGACATGCGTTTGAAACACTTGCAACATACGTGTACAAAAAACAGATGAAACATTGGGGATAGACGCTTGCAACATACGTATACAACCATTGCAACATATCCAACATCCCGATCTACTTTTGCAACATTTGCATGAAACAATTGAAACATACATCTGAAACAAACTGAACACTTAATACATGGGCTTGCAACATGTCTGAAAAAGCGTCCAGAAACACTTGAAACACAGCATCGCCGCGCGCCCATGACCTACCTGGTGGGCAACTGCGGTGGCGCAGGCTCGCTGGATGGTGCGTGCCCACACGCCCTCCATGCCCGTCGTCGGCCGAGGGAGAGGAGACGCTGCCAGATCTGGGAATGGCGCCGCTAGCCTGGGGGGGGGGTAGGGGAGGGTTAGTGGCTTGCTTGGATCTCGTCGGGGTGGGGGAGAGGGCCACCGGATCCGCGGGCGTTGGGCGCTCCCAGTCGGTGAGGATGCCAGGGTGGGGGGAGGGGCACCGTAGGGGTGGGGAGGAGGACGCTAGGGTGGGGGAGCGCGCCGCCGCCGGCCAGGGAGGCAGCCATGGCCGCGTGTCGGGGTAGGCGCGGGGCACGAGCACAAGAAGGGGGGGAAGCGAGGAACTGGGTGCGGGAGTGAGCGAGTGAAGCGCCCGTCCATTCTAGACGTCTTAACTAGAGCATTATCGTTGAGCATTATCGTTGAGGAAAGCATGCATTGAGAGATGGTGCCAATACATGGGTGGCTAAGTCTCTTGCGAATAGGATAAAGCCTCACCTTCTGTCCTCCATTAACCATGCTCAGGCAGCTTTCATTACGGATAAGCATATCTCTTCTAATGTCACCATTACTCAGGAAATCATTCACTCTTTCAACCTTAAAACCTGGAATCAGAATGCTTTTCTTCTGAAATTAGACCTAGATAAAGCTTTTGATAGTCTAGAATGGGGTTTCATTGAGTTGGCTCTCCAGAGTCAAGGGTATAATAGTCATATTATTAACCTCATCCATGCATGCATCTCCTCACCATCCTTTGTTGTCCTGGTTAACGGTGAGCCCTCTAACACATTTCACTCCCAACGTGGCATCCGTCAAGGGTGCCCCTGTTGCCGTACCTTTTTGTTATTGCAATTAATGAACTGTCTATTCGTTTGCAAACTGAACTACAGAACAGGAATCTCTCTGGCATCAGTCTGGGTCTGGCTGTCCACCCATCCACTCGCTCCTTTTTGCTGATGACTTGATCCTCTATGGCCATGCCTCTGTTGCTGAGGCTACTACAATCAATTCTATCTTCCACCAATTTTCGCAGCTCTCCGGTTAAATTCTCAATTTTCATAAATCTTCCATCATTTTCAGTAAGAATGTCGATACCGCCACCAAATCCCAAATTAAAAATATTTTTCCTGTGCCGGACCTGCTTCCAAATACTATGCACCTTGGCCATTCAATGATTTTCAGACACAGGGATAGAAATAAAGCTTATGAGTTCATTATCAACAAATTCCGTTCTAAACTTACCACTGTCAAAGCCAACAAACTTAATCATGCAGGCAGACTCACATCAAATCTGTCCTTGCCTCTATTCCTGTCTACTACATGTCAACGGTTCTTTTCTCTAAGACTTTTGTTGAAAAAATCAATGCTATCATCCATAAATTTTGGTGGGCTGGTATTCAAGATGATAGCCCTTCCAATCCCATTGCCTTCCGATCTTGGGACGATATCTGTCAATCCAAAGAGAATGGGGGTCTTGGCATCAGAGATCTTTACATAGTCAACAAAAGCCTAATTACTCACGCTGCCTGGAATATCTGCCACCAGCAAAAATCCCTTCCTGACAAGCATCCTAAAGGCCAAATATTTCCACTCCACCTCCTTTTGGACTGCCAATGCTCAGTGCCGGCCCTAGGGGTAGGCCACAAGGTGCGACAGCCGCCGTGGAGGAGGGGCCCAAGCCCAGGTATACAAGCCCCCATGTTCTATAGTCCATTAGGTATTAGCAAACTAATGAGAAGAGATATATAGAACTGGTCATCGGTCCAAAAAGACAGCATGGGCATTTCTTCCGTAGTTTTCTTTCCCCGCGGCCCTCGAGTAGAGAGGAGGCGAGGAGTCACGCTGTACACAGCACACTCTGATCGTGAGTTCGCGATGTGCGCCTTACACACGCAGAGCTGGCGAGCCACGCCGCTGCGAAGAGCTAGACTACCGGAGACACGGACACGGCGCACAAGGATGGCGACCAGGCAGGGCTCCACGACGATGACATCTTGATTCTTGGCTTCTTATGAATTACGATCACCGATCAATTGTTTAGACCCAAAGTATTTTTTTCTTTTTATTTTTAATCCAAATTAATTTTTTGTATAGTATTCCAGACTTTTAGTACTTTGTACCTATATAGTTATATTTTTTTCTAATTTAGGTGTTAGAATTTTAGAATGTTACCTAAGAAACATTTGTCATGGGTGAGAAAAGAAAACGAATATATTGTTTTTTTAATCTACATTGTTCCTCGATAATTATCATACATCTACAAATATATTGCTTAATCTACATTGTTCCTCGATAATTATCAGACATGTTAAATTAAAAATATGTTATTGAATTTGCTTTTATTTTGTAAGTAAAATTAGTGTCTATATATTATAAGATTTTATACATAGTCAAGAGTGACCGTTGCGACGAGATCGTCAGAGGGCCCTTAAAATCCTAGGACTGACACTGCCAAAGCTGATGGTCCTCGTTCCATCTTATGGTCTTCTATTCTTCATGTTAAAAGGGATCTTGCCCACAATGTGATTTATCAAATTTATAATGGCAATACCTCTCCTTAGTGTCATATCTGGGATTCCATTCATAGCCACCTTCTTCTGCCTGTCACCCACTCTCCTCTGCCGAGCGTGGTCTCTGATCTCTGGTTCCCCAACACTCGCAATTGGAACCTGGATCTCCTTTACACCATCTTTGATCCCCAAGCTGTTCAAATTATTTTCCAAATTCAGACGGTGGACAGCAAGCACCAGGACATTCTTCGGTGGGCTCCAGCAACAAAGGGCGACTGCACAACTAAAAATATTTACAGGTTTCTCAGTTCACAAGCTCAGGTTCAACTCCCGTTGACAGGACAAGGAGCATTCAACAACAGGCCAACCAGATTCTTCAACGAATGTGGAAAGACAAAAATCTACCTCCACTCATCAAGACTTTCACCTGGAGACTTATTCGTAGAGCTCTAGCCACTGGATGCAGAGCCGCAAGATACTCAACCCACATAGATGAACACTTCTCCAACCGTGGACTACATGAAACTGATGCGCACTTATTTTTTCACTGTAATTTTGCTCGTGCAGTTTGGTTCTCAGCCACTCCACCTCTTCGAACTGACGCTCTACCAAACGAGGATGACGGAGTCCAGGTTATTCTATCGCTCGTTATTTCGGATTCAATTGAAATCTCCTTAATGCGGAAAATACTCATAACTTTGTGGTATATATGGAAAGCACGAAATGATCAAAGATTTGGCAAGAAATCTTGGACTACTTGGCAGGTACACCATGCTGTGGCGGCTTACATCAAAACAGCAAGCTTAGCTACCTACACCACGGATGAACAGAACTGCGCACCAAGGGATACAATACACACCTCAGGTACAATTGACTCTATTGCAGGTACCAACACTGAAATGCAAGATGCCCCTCCTTTACATGCGGATGACACCAATGGCAACCACATCAGGACGCAAAGACCAAACAATAGGGATGCTACACCGTCAGGTATGAATAACTTCATTGCAGGAAATAATATGACACAAAATCAGGCGTGGAAATAATATGACACAAAATCAGGCGTACAGGCACAGGGGGAGCTTGATGGACATGTACATGGTTCATTTCCCCGGGCTACTACAGGGCATCAGGTGCTACACCGACGCATCAACAACACCTGATCTCCCCTCATTTCCGCCCAGAGACGCTGGAATCGGCCTGTTTATTATCAATACCCAGGTCCATCCGGTACAAACCATCTAAGTCAAGGCGAGGATGACAGGGGCTACATCAGTTCTCATGGCCGAAGCCGCGGCAATGACACTTGCTGCAATTATCACTAACAGACTCAATCTGCAGCAAGTAAATTTCTTATCTGACAATCAACAGCTTGTGCATTTCCTAAATGCCTCGGATCAAGCAAACCCACCGGATTGGAGGATCAAACACTTCACACAGCAGTTCACTAACTACACAAGCCAAAGAGATACAAGGATTTTCAAGATCCAAAGGCCACAGAACCAGACGGCCGACATTCTTGCTAGACAGGCTCTTCTTCAAACTCATCCGCCTTCTCTTAGCTTGGCTTGTAATTGCTCTTATAGCGCACATGTATCTCAGTGTCCGATAGAGGATACACTCCGGTCTGTAGCCTTGAATTCTGTAAGGCTCTTAACAGCCTCATGCTGTTGAAATAAAAGTTGTTTGTTGTCAAAAAAAAAACATGGGTGGAGAATTTTTTTTATTTGGTCTGTGAGGGCTCGGTAGATAGTATAAAAAGGGAAAAAGGAGTACATGCGTATATAATGAACAACAAAAAGAGAGCGCACGATGAAAGTTGAGTACGCGCATCCAGTGCCGTTCTGTGTATGAAAAGAAAAAAAAGAAGACCTGGGTGAAGTTTTCTAAACTGTATAAAAAATGTTGTTTTAGCAATACTGGTTTCAAAACTACAATTTATGACATCCAAACACCTTGCATTTTAACATCTAGGTATTTTGTAAAACCATGGTATTTTTCAAAAGAAAAATGATCCTGAGCTTGTGCTGGAGCTCAAAGTTGTTTAGCGCTTGTAAAAGAATTGTTGGTCTCCCTCGCATACAGCCTTGGTTACAAGCTTCATGCAATCCGGTTTACTTATTTCCGATAGAGTTGAAGGAGAGCAAGAAAATAAACTGTCTAGACTGATTCTTCACGAGGTTTCTTCCAACCTCTACGCACTTTAATCGTTCGGCTCTGAGCTCTCATATAATTATATGTTAGGGTTGCAATCAACATAGCTGATCGGGAGGGATTCTGGACTGATTGTTCATGAACAAAGCCCCTTCGTTCCCACCATATGTACCAGCTCCTAGTTAGAATTAACTCTGCCAGGCCAACATCATTCAGGCACTTGTTTGTATTTCCTTCATCTTATCTAAGTTCAAGCGCCTTTTTCATTCTATAAGAGCACTGCCAATGCTATAATACAGTGCCATATAGGACATTTTGCTGATGTGACAATAATGCTAAACAGAAAAGATAGATGAATACTTCAAGAAACTAGGTCTCACATGAAACTAGTCTTGCATCAAAACTAGTGTTTAAGAAACTACAAGCTAGAAATAAATTAGAATAAGCATTGCAAATACTACGACAAAATAAGAGAGTGGGAAAGAAGAGGATTGGGGAGAGAGGACAAAAATGATTGGAGTTTATTTTGTAGCCAAAATTAGGGAGCTATTGTTTTTAAGTGGTGTCTATCAGTCTATGACATGGCATGTCATAATTAAGGACATGTTTGGATCCACTAGTGCTAATAGTTACTAGTGGATTCAAACAAACTTGTTAATAGACCAATGAATTATTAGTTAGGAGACCGCTAACTATTGGTTTCGTTAGAAGGTTTGGAGTTACTAATAGGTGTAGGTGGATCCAAAATTTCCAAATAGCCCATTGCTAATAATTAGTAGCTATTAGCTAGCTAACTATTAGTGCTAGTGGATCTAAGGGCCTATTTAGATCGGTTAGCGCTAAACATTAGTTAGCTAATACATAATAGCTGCTAACTTTTAGCTTAGCTAATTTTTAGCAAGAATCCGTTTGGACCAACTTCTAATACGTCGAGAATTGACAATGTGCCAGTGGAAATGGCCGTCGTTGGAAGTTGGAACATATCAGATGGTGTATATCTTTAAAATCAAACCAGCAACGCTTCTGTTCGTCACGCACAATAAGCAGAGCATGGTCTCCATGGGCTTCGCTCAAAGCAGCACAGTGGGTAATTAAACCGATCAATTACACAGCATCGAAGATGTATCCCACATCCAGGCATCCAATTTTGATTCAACATGAAACTAACAGTTGCTGCTACAACATTATACCTACAACATTAAAGGACACAAAAGAGCAAAAAGAAAGAAATAGTGCCTTGAATGACACTTTTATTGTTTCGATGATCTCCAACATACTGATCTGCAGATCAAGCATGTAACCAGGTGCTGATCATTGTCAATGACACTCAGCTGCATGTCGCACATCCACCTGCAGCACAGTGCAAAACAATGATTTGGTGAACGGGCAAACTTGCAAACTCGAGCAAAGATGTAGCATTTGCAACCTAGCTGATTTAACATTTTGAGATGTGTTTCAAAGGCTTCGCAAGTGAAGCTTTACTGACAGCAGTTTGTGTAGAACAGGGGGGATAGCTTACTTCATATAACTGTTCCACTAGGGAGTAAAGCATCCTTGATCACTGTGACAATTCCACCTTTGATGAAGTACCCGTCTGTCTCCCTCGCAGCTTCTTGAACATTGTCAGCATTGAGTATCTACAAGATCAACAAGTCTCGTGAGAAAAATCGCTGCCATAGAAAATGTGTGGTAGGCAAGTCTAATAATGAAATGTTCCTGTTTAATCATATGACAAGCTAAGACTTATGAACTCTTCAGATGATCCGACACATCAGGTCATGACTCATGACAAGCTAAGACTCATGACTAATCAAGTGCAACAGGTCTAACAAAAAATGGCAATAATAGAGCAAGGGAACAGGATCAGGATTGCAGGATAATGGCAAGCTGTTTCTGGGTGGAACTTGAATGCCATATGCATGAACAGTATTGCAAAGCCAAAGCAAGAACTGGTATGAAGTTCTGCATTTCAGGTTTTATTTTGTATTTTTATAACAAAAACTGATATATGACTTGTTGACAATTTTTATCTTGTGGAAAACAACCTCAGCTTGATTACCTGAGTTAAATACAGGCGAAAGTGCAGGACGAAGATTTATGCAGGCAGTTAGGGAAAGATAAGTATGAACAGTCATATTATATAGGCATCTTCCATGTAAAAGAAAAAGAGAACATGCAAGCCTATTCATATTTTAAATTTAATATTTCAAAAATAAATGTAGAAATTAAGAGGAGAAAATGATATATCAAGTATTATTTAATATCCTAAGAAAAAAATAGACCAATATATTCTTGACCGTTAGAACTGGAATACCTTCACATTGTCTCCAATTCGAGCATTCTTGTCAATGATTGCTCTTCTGATGTGTGAATTCTTCCCAATACCAATGGGAATGCCACCATTTTCGGCAAGGAGTTTCTTGTCAGCTTCAGTCTGGAAAAAAAGAATACCAAGGTGTGAGCTCTCTTGTTGCATTGAGAGCAGTGAACACTTGTATATATTTACCTCATAGTAGTCCGCACCCATTAGTAAAGTGTCCTCTATGATAGCACCTTCAGATATGCAAGATCGGAGTCCAACTACAGAATGGTGTATCTTGCAGTTCTGTGTGCACAAGATCAAGGCATAAACGTTTTAGTAAATGAATTATGAGAAATTACTTTGGAGGAAATATAAAAAGGCTATAGAAAGGTTTTCAAACATGCTACAGTAAAACAAAACACTACTTACTTTAATAACACATCCTTCACCGATAACACTGTCCGTCACATTAGCATCAAGAACCTTTGAAGGTGGCAGGTGTCGAGGTTGTGTATAGATTGGAGCAGAACGGTCATAGAAGCTGTATTCAGATTGAAGGGAAACACTAAATCAGTAGGGACTAATTGAAATTGTAAGACTTGATGTGCATGCAGTGTTGTAAGTTTTGACTGCAGTACAGTGAGAAGTGAAAGCATACCTGAAATCTGGTACTGGTTTCTTGGTTATTCCCAAGTTTGCATTATAAAATGCCTCAATGGTACCGATATCTTCCCAGTAACCATCATACAGATAAGCCTGAACCTGCAGACAAAAACAAGGTCTTAAATAACATTCTGAAAGGTGGTAACCCTTCCCTCCCTCCTGCCTTGAGCTAACCCCACCTGCCTAGGCTTTCTAGCACGCTGTTCTTAGGCAGCACTTGACACACATAAACTTCAGATATGCACTTCAATGTAAGTGTTTAGATAATAGTAACTTTCTTCAGAAATGAAATGTCAGGGTACCAACTTATGGCATGATGACATTTGTGCGAAAAGGGTATATAGTACTTTTTTTATATAAAAAAGAAACATCAGTAAACAGAAGAAAATAAACAGCTAAAAGGTTAAATAATCTTTGCATACCCTCTTTCCAATGCTTGTTGCACCTGGAATAACCTCACTTCCAAAGTCATTGGCTCCAGGAAATTGTTCACGGAGGAGCTGAAGCATTACATCTTTGCTAAAAACATAGATACCCATGCTAGCAATATAAGGCATTTCCTTTGCCCTTACATCATCAAGGCCAAGTATGGTGGTGTCAACCTACATCAATCAGACAGCAATATGATGTGAAGGCATTTTAAAGAGGAATATTTTAGGTTTACTAAATGATTGTCCACAAATGTATATCAAGTTAGCTTGAAAGGAAAGGCACATTATGTGTACCATCATTGCTTTCAACTGCTCTCCTTTCGGTTTCTCAGCAAACTCAATGATCCTCCCTTCTTCGTCGATTTTCATGAGGCCAAATGCAGTTGCGCGTGCCTCATCCATCGGTAGGGCAGCAACAGTAATATCAGCATCCGTTTCTCTGTGTGCCTGAATGAACTTTTCATAGTCCATTCGGTACAGGTGATCACCAGCAAGAATTAGAAACTCCATCACATTATGCTCCTCAAACAACCACAAGTACTGCCTTACGGCGTCTGCAGTACCCTGAGAAAAAAATATAAAAGAAAATTAGTACTTGACGTAAGCTAGTGAAGTGCGCTAGCAAAATTTCCAGTAGATTAGCATGCATTTGCTTAAGGCATGATGGTACACTTCAAACTCATGTTCAATAACCAACTGGAATGACCTTTGTTGTCTGTTGGCTACAAATTTGATGTAGTGCGAAGCGAGAATATGCAATGGGGAAAATGTGAATATGGTGTCAAATGTTCATGTTAAAGAAATGGTAGATTTCGCATTTGACAAAATCAGAAAAGATACAACATTAGTATGGATACCTGAAACCAGTTTGGATTATCTGGGCTCTGCTGTGCAGCTAAGACTTCAACGAACCCTTCATTCTTGTACCCTCCGATGTTGCTCCCGTAGGCTCTTGAGAGGTGACGGTTGAGGGAAGCAGAGTTGAATTGTGTTAGCACATAGATCTTGGATATGTTGCTGTTGAGACAATTGCTGACAGGAATATCAATCAGTCTATAGTTGGCACCCAATGGCACTGCAGGCTTGGCACGCTTCTTTGTCAAAGGGTACAATCTAGTGCCAGCACCACCTCCGAGAATGATTCCAAGAACACTCTGAACCAACAACAAATGTTTGTTATTGTATACAGCCAAGAGTGAGTAAAGTGATGAGCATCACAAAAGGACAAGGACAGCTCTGAAATTCAAAATTTATTAGCACTCCTTAGAAACTAATAACATAATCTCTGCATCGTGACAAATTAAAAGATATAATTCAAAAAAAAAAAGATGAGACAAGTTCAAACAACGTAGGCCACTCGAGGACAATAGCAAATGGGCCATTATAATTTCTGCATCAGACCCAAAAACTAATATTATATGGGAAGAAGAAACGATTAAACCATAAATAATGATCCAAAAAATACCTAGAACTACAGCCCTGACAATATCTTGATCAATTTTCTTATTGGCTACTACAAGGAATCATATTTAACCACATGAGCCTCACAACAACTAGCATCCTAAAATTGCCACATTCATCGGTACCTAGTACATACAAAAAGAAAATATTGTACTAAGCAGCAACCACGAAACGTGCACATGAGAAGGCAACAATCCCAGCCGCCGATTTGCACATCTAGATGAGCAACGCGTTATTCATAAAGATTAAAAAAATAATCTTTTGCGCGCGCGTCCCAATTTCCCATCAGGGACGGCAAATGCGCCTCGAAGGCGCGACCCGACGGATCAGAGACAAGCCGCAAGCGAGAGACGGCCAGGCGCGCCAAGAGAAACCGCCGCATTCCCCGTGCAGGAGGCGGGCGGCGGGGGCGTACCGTGCTGGCGTCGGGGTCCAGGCAGGTCTGGGAGCTCTTGGAGTCGGACACCGCGCGCGGGGAGAAGACGAACGGCCGGCTCCGCGCCGCGGGCGTGGAGACGGACACCCCGCGGCTGCTCCGGCCGTGGCGCGGGTGCGAGCGGAGGAGGCGGAGCGAGGAGTCGCTGGAGGTGGACGGGGAGGGCGCGGCGCCGTGGTGGCGCGGAGGGATCAGGGTCCTGGACGACGGGGAGGCTATGGCGGTCATCGCCATTGCTCCTGCGGTGAGGAAGGACGAGGACCCGCGTGGCGGAGCTCACGGGGAGTTTGTGGCGTGGCGAGGGATCGGTGATGAGTGAGGCCACACACTGACACACGGTCTGATCTCTGATCGGGAGTGGTGGTCAGACTGCTCGTGTGGCTGTGCGATTTTAACTCATCCTACGGGATCTTTTTATTTTTTAATTCTTTTCTTTTTCCTAGAAGCAGAGAGAGAGAGAGACAGAGACAGGAACGGCCTTAATCGTGGCAAATGATCTCGGCTGACATCGAGGACAAGGGATTCTAGTTTCCTAGTTCTTGGCTTGATTTTGATGGCATGTGCAAGAGAAATCATAAATAATCATGCAAAAATGTTTTGCGTTTTCTAACGTTCTCACGACTGCTCCTGACTCACCCACCATGAGATTAAACTGGGAGTCCGATCTCATGCACCACAGCTCCACGTAACCAAGGCCCCGTTCGCTTCGTTGAAAAAACAAGCCGAAACATTGTTCCGGCTAATTTGTGGTGAGAGAAAAACACTGTTTCGACTGAAAAAACAAGCTAAAGAAGACGGATTATAAGAGAAGCAAACATGGCCCAAATAGGGACAGAAAGATCATGTACTCACAATTGAGAATTAGAAAAAGGTTATTAGGAGAATATGAGTTCCTAGCTAGTTGTGGTACTAGATTAGCATATCATATCTCTTCTCTATCTCTATCTCTACAACTAAAACATATGGATTGTCAACGTCTATCTGGCAGAACCAAACACCCCTCAACACAGGTCCACCCGACAGCACCAAAAACTTCCCTCTACAACTAAACACATATGGATTGTCAACGTCTACCTGGCAGGACCAAACACCCTCAACACAGGTCCACCCGGCAGCACCAAAAACTTCCCATATAATCGCTTCCCTACCGGCGCAATTAAAGGAAAGAAACCTAGAATAGAAGGCAATGCCGTGCTTGAGGAGGGAAAAAGAAAATTAATATGAAAGGCAATGCCGTGATTGATTAATTGAGGACGGGAAAAAAATTAGATCATAATTGGGGAGGCAATGCCGTGATTTTCATGTTGCAAACGCACGGGCACAGTCCTAGTCTAAAAAAACAATGATTAATTTGAAGCTACTAGCTCATTATTATTAATAATAGAGATAAATAAAAAGAGAACTTACATCATTGGCTTTAGGATTGAGGTATGTATCCTTGGATGAGGAATCATTTGCAACAGCTTTGTCACTCTTTGAAATTGGTTGCTCGGCGGTAGCACTTGATGGAGGGAAGGATTTAGATGCCAAAGCCATGTCCATGGTTGCAACTCAAGAATTAAGATCTTGAGACGTAAGTTTAATGGGAATATAGAATGGAAATTGGAGGAATCTTTTGTGTATCGAATGAGGTGTCTTCTGCAATTTATAAGCAATAGCTACTCGTACACGTGTACATAAAAAGATTCCATTTCTTTGCTTGACGGGAGAAGTTTGTTGATGGAAAGGTGTAACAAGCTGTAACATTTGTTCTTTGTATCAATCAACTTTTATGTAATGGCTTGGTTTTAAAGGGTGATATTTTGTCATATTAAGTGAAACTTTGCATCTTTTAAGATACAATACTATTCCTTAACGCGAAAAACAAGTTTGTTTTTTAAAAAATGTAGCATATTATGCAAGTTTATAGCTTTATGGCTTGTTCCAACGCAGGATACGACATTGGAAAAGGTTGCGTTGCTGTTTTCCAGACGATGAGGTTGTATCCGTACACTCCACGGTAACTATAAGGACAAATGTAAGCGTGTTGTAATGTTGTGGTACAAGCTGCGTCACCATGTAAGAGAACAAACAATGCAAGATTGTTGTTGAGAAATCTATGCCAGAAAAGATGGCTTTATACTTTTAAGCGGTTGCACTTCACATGCCGAAGAGTGAAGTCATAGCAAACCATTTGGCAGCATAAGATTACATAAAATGGAAAAATGTATTAAAACCATGATATATGGAGTTGATCATGTGATGCAAGAGAAGTTGTACAAGATAACTATTTTTTATCTCTTAGTTTTAATTACGAATCTCTCTATGTGCAAAATTCTATCCTTAGTTAAACATTTATGTGTCTCTTCATATGTGAGACTACCAACAAACATGAAGTTCGAGATGAATGCAAGCAAATAAAAAGAGAGAATGATTTTTCACTCGATAAATCATAATTAAATTCTATGTTTCTAGAACATCTAATCATCGCATAAGTAACAAGATACATATTGACATCTAGAGTAGATATTGACATCTTATCTCTAGAAGGTAATAAAACAAATATAGTATAAATAGGGAAAACATCTTCCTATTAGATGCATGATCTAACTTTTCTATTTGATGTAAATTCACATGTAGATGAGATCTAAGATATCTTTCTTCAACATGTTTTTGATTTGTAAAGTGAAAAATGAAACATGGTTTACTTCTAATATTCTTTTATTCTGAAAAGATTAATGTGATCTATAATGATTTTTTGACATGAGTAGATCACTTTTGACAACAACATGTTAATTGCTTATGATAACTTACTTGTCATTCATCACGTTAGATCACTTTTAACACCAATGTCGTGCTAAAAACTGATTTTCTTGTATACTCAACTGTACAACACGTATATACTTAAACCTACGTGATCTGAAGTGACTATTTTTCTTAGAAAAGTAGTAATAGTTATATCATGTGTCCATCAACACCTGTAGCCCTCTGTGCATGTCCTCACACCTCTCCTTGCATGCATGTCCACCCGGGCTCTGGCGCCGACACATGCTGTGGTCTATCGCACCCTACTATCAAGTTCCAGAACATGCAACCTCAACGATGCCCCTGCTAGGCCCCATTCGACATTCGGGCACTGGGTTTGCCACTTGGGTCACAACATATTGAATGTTTATAAACCAACCTCTTGTTAGTCTCAGCCCTCAGACTGGCCGTGTGTAAGACCGGGGCCACCTACCATCTTGCAGTTCGGTGGATCAGCTAAGCTAACGTCCGCGGCTCACGTGTCAAAAGGGGTGCAGACGTGACACGCCACCACTCGGCACTCGCAGAGCCGTAGATTTGCCCCCGAGAGCGATGCCTGGCACTTGGGAGAAGGGGCCCACCACCGGAGGCCGGACAAGGGAGTCTCCGTGACTTGGACGGTGGAGAGACGCCGAGAAACCAGATGCTGCCGCCTGTTCTTTGGCTTGGTCTGTCCGAGGAATATGCTTAACATCAAGGATTGTCATTGTCTCTAACATTGATATTTAATTTTTGTCTCATCTTAGAGCAGATTTAATGGCCACTCAAAAGAAGCATTCCAGGGTATGGAATTGTCAAGTGCTTCTTAATGACATTATGATTTTTCGATGTTTCTTCCGCGTCAGGAAATGATCAAGCTATTCCCCTATCCAGAAGTTTACACAAATCTACTGGAGTGTTCCTTTTGCCAGAAAGTCAGTTACACCGATCTCCAACCTTGCAACTTTGAAGTTGTTGGGAACTTGTAATAGGCCTACAGAATCAGCAGCCCCTATCCTCCAATTTGGATTTAAGGCCTGTTTGGATTTTCTCCATTAAACTCCGAGCTCCAAACTTTAGAGTTAAAGCTCCAAACAAGTGGTTGAAAATTAGCTCTAAACTTAGCCATCTCACATTAGAGCTTCAGAGCTCAAAAGTGAGCTAAAGTCATGTCATGTGGGGCCGCCCCTATGCAAGGAAACGGCGCGCCCGAGACATACGCTACGCCGTCAAGCGCGCTGCTGGGGCCGCGCCGTCGCTCTCTGAGCATGCAGAGCAGATTGAGCCATCTAGTGGCTAGGATAGAAAGAGTATCAAGTCAGTTCCTTAGATTAAGGAACAATTAGCACCTGGTTTGTTAGCCTCTAAGGCCTATTTAGTCTGGTACGGTGACAATGAAAGAAGGCAAGCAAGATATTATCATCTAATCTCCCTTTCTCTCTTCTTCCAAACAAACTAGGCACAGAGGGATAAAACCTCGCCTTAGTCACGGATCGCGACTACGAACTACATAGTCGGGGTCCTGCTACCCTTAACGCCGACGTTCTTGACAACCTAGTATCACGATCCCGGCATTCCTCGCCTGTGCGTGGTGCCTCTCCACCGCCGCCGCACTCTGCATCTTCACCGCCCGCCGCTCGCAGCGCCTCCACCATGGGGGACAACGCCGACCTCAAGGCCACCCTGGAGACCCTGGCCGCCACCCTCAAGACCCTGCAAACCTCGGTCGAGGCCAATTCCTGGGCCATTGAAAGCCTGGCCGCCGAACCACGATCGTCCTCCAGCAAGTCCAGCGCCGGCGAGCACCACCAAGACCGTTCGCCATGGTTCCAGAAGATGGATTTCCCGCGGTACGACGGCAAGTCCGATCCTCTCATCTTCATCAATAGGTGCGAGTCGTATTTTCATCAGCAGCAGATCATGGAGGAGGAGAAGGTGTGGATGGCCTCCTACAACCTGGAGGAGGGCGCCCAGATGTGGTACATCCAGGTCCAGCAGGACGAACGCATTCCGTCCTGGCGGCGTTTCAAGGACTTGCTGAACCTCCGCTACGGCCCTCCCCTACGATCCAACTCCCTCTTCGACCTGGCGGTCTGCAGGCGCACCGGCACCGTCATCGAGTACCAGGACCGCTTCCAGGCGCTCCTTCCCCGTGCGGGGCTCCTCGACGAGGCTCAGCGGGTGCAACTCTTCACCGGCGGCTTGCTACCGCCGCTCAGCTTTGACGTCGAGGTCCACAACCCGCAGACCCTCGCCGGCGCGATGAGTTTGGCCCGCAAGCTAGAGCTGCGGGAGCAGTACACCACGACGCCACCCCGCGCTGCCACGCGTGGCCTCCTGCCGGCTCCCGTTCAGCGTCTCGCCCTTCCAGCGTCCCCCGCGATGACGTCTTCCACCTCGGCTACCGTCACCGTGGAGGGCCGGCCAATCAAGCGCCTGACCACAGTCGAGCAGGAGGAGCACCGCCACTTGGGCCTCTGCTACAACTGCGACGAGAAATTCGTATGCGGTCATAACAAGGTCTGGAAATGCCTGTTCTTGCTGGACAGCGCGGTGGATGACACGGAGGAGGCCCCGGAGTCATCCGAACCAGCGGCCACTGAGGAGGAGTCACCCGTGTTCTCTCTCCACGCCATCGCGGGCGTTCGTTTCACCAACACCATGCAGCTCAATGTCAGCCTCGGTGGTACTTCGTTCCTAGCGCTCCTGGACTTGGGGTCTACACACAATTTCATCTCCGAGTCCGCGGCGCAGCACACCGGTCTCCCTCTACAACGCCGCCCTAGGCCCACGGCGACAGTGGTGAACGGCGAACGCGTCTCCTGCGTGAGCGTCATCCGCTGGGCCGCGATCATCATCCACGGCGACACCTTTCACGCCGATCTATTTGTCATGCCCCTTGCAGGTTTCGACATGGTTTTGGGCACTCAATGGCTGGCAACGTTGGGGCCTGTCCTCTGGGATTTTGGTGCCCGGCGCATGACGTTCCACCGGAACGGCCAGCCGGTCTGTTGGCAGGGAGTCCAGGGCCCCGAGGGGGCCCACCATCTGCACCACCACGGCGACACCATCCCTGCTGGACGAGCTCCTCGCCTCCTTCGCCGACATTTTCGACGAACCGCATGGGCTGCCACCACCCCGCGCCCGCGACCACGGCATCACCCTTGTTCCTGGTTCGCATCCAATCGCGGTGCGCCCCTACCGCTACCTGGCCACGCACAAGGACGAGCTGGAACGCCAGTGCGCCGCGATGCTGGCACAAGGACTCATTCGACGAAGCTCCTCGGCGTTCTCCTCGCCCGTCCTCCCCGTCAAGAAAGCCGACGAATCGTGGAGGTTCTGCGTCGACTACCGCGCCCTGAACGCCATCACCGTCAAGGACGCCTTCCCCATACCCGTCGTCGATGAGCTTCTAGATGAGCTCCACGGCGCCAAGTTCTTCACCAAGCTTGACCTGCGTTCGGGCTACCATCAGGTCCGCATGCGCCCCGACGACATCGCCAAGACGGCGTTCCGCACCCACGACGGTCTGTACGAGTTCCTGGTCATGCCGTTCGGGCTGTGCAACGCCCCGGTGACGTTCCAGGCCTTGATGAACGACGTGGTGCGGCCTTTTCTTCGTCGATTTGTACTCGTGTTTTTCGATGATATTTTGATCTACAGTGCATCATGGGCTGATCATCTTCGCCACCTACGGACCGTCTTCGCCGTGCTGCAGCAGCACCGCCTCTTCGTCAAGCGCTCTAAATGCGCTTTCGGCGATCACTCCATCGCCTACC